TCTCTCTTTCTCTCTTTGTCTCTTCCTCAAGACAACTTTAACTTTAACCAGAAGTTCTTAAAATCCCTTGTGACGTGGACCCCTTTGACAGTCTGGTGAAGTCTGTGGACCCCTTCTCAGAATAAAGTATTTAAATAATTGAAGCAAATGTTAGTCAGTCAGTCAGGGGGTAATGACAATTAAGATGTAACTTTTCTGTATCCAAGTTCATAGATCCTCTGAAATCTAAGTGTCCATGGCTGCTAGGTTAAGGGCCTCTAACTTAAACAATTTAAATAGACTCAAACTTCGTAAGATAAAAAAAAGAGAGAGAGAAACAAGAGTCTATTTGAGACAGGAGTTCTTAACTTTTTTTCTGTGTCATGGTTCCCTTTGACAATCTTGTGAAATCTATGGACACCTTCTCAGAATAATGTTATTAAATGTACAAAATAAAATTCATAGACACTGCTAATATGATTTTGGGAGCTTACATTCATAATGGAAGGAAATGCTAAATTGTAATAGCTTTCAATTAGGGCTAGTGAAAAAAAAGATGCAACTTTTTACTTCATAGTCCCCCTGAAATCTATACACTTACCCTTTTTGAGGACCCCAGGTTAAGAATCCTTGCTTTGAGAGAGTCCCTGGAGGTCATCAACAATGGACACAGTGGGCGGGCAAAGGGAAAAGGGATAGGTATTCATATCACTATGTGCCTTGTGGGCAGGAGCTATTTTCTGGCAACCAGACAATAAGAACTTTAATACACAATTAAACTAAGATCTAACGAGATATGCCTTATGCCTCACTATTTATATCCCTGGGAGAAACAAGTTTGAAAGCAAAATATAGTCATCTCTCAGTTTTCCACTTCGGTAGGGTTAAAAAGAAAATTGTGTGGACATTTTATTGACAACATTAATCTTAACCATCAGAGTCTTCTTTTGCCAAGTATTTTATCTGTCACCAATTGAATAGGTTTAAATTTCTTTTTCTTGTCCCCTCATTCTCCTCTCTTCTCTGCCCTCCCCACCCTCAATCTTCTTCTGTCTGATGTATACCTACAGCTGTGAAGGATGGAAGAGATAGTACGTATTGGGCTTCAAGGACTAGGAAACATTTTTCTTCCTATTTGGAAGTGAAATGCCAAAAATTATGTAGCATTGAGGAAAGAGGGGCCAGAAAGTTGGAAAATCAATGAACAATTGGATAAGTGAAAACTCTTTTTAAAAGACTCTTTTCTCACCACAAAATCTTGGAGCTGAGATACAGAAACCTGGGACAAGAAAGCTGTAGTATGAAGCTCTGGGGACAGGAAATGACAGAAATAAGTGTTCAATTGTCCAGAGAAGCAAACTTTCGATTTACACTAACAACATTTGTCAAGGTAGATGGCATGGTTTGGTCGGTGTAAGACCAGATAGGAGCCAAACCAGAAATACAGGTCACTGATGTTTTGAACAGAGAAAATGAAGGTGGAATGGAGTCCCAGGGGAAAAAAATTAAAGAGGTGGCTGAACCAGAGCTTAAAATGATGAAACTTTAACAAATTTATTGGATAACTTGAGGAAATGAGTGTATGAAACAATCAGCCCTTTTTAAGCAAGTGAAGAGTTAAAAGTGGGGGGGTGGGTTGGTTGAAATTGATTAAAGGGACAGATATGGACAAGTATTTAGATTAAGACATCTTCCTCATTTTTTGTTATCATAGACCCCTTGGGCACTATAGTGAAGCCTACAGACCCCTTCTCAGAACAATGCTTTTTAAGTAACTGAAAGAAACACTAAATTTCAGTTAGAGATTATTGAAAATAAGTATGTAATTTTATTCCCATCCAAGTTAATTGACCTTCTGGAATCCATCCATAGGACTCCAAGTTAAGAATACTTTATCTAGTTAGCCAAATCAAGGAAACATCTTAGTGGGCAAGGAGAACTCAAGGAAGGCCCCTACCAGTGAATTTATGGGATGATATATACTACAGTTACATGAGATGGGCCTATATGGATGGGCTGAGAGATAGAATAGTTTTCGGTAAACCCTCATCTGGTATGAAATGAAATAAATTCTAGGATATTCAATATGAAAGGAAATGTATTACAATATATGCACATAATAAATAAAATAGGTTAATTAATTCCTTATAGCCCCCCTAACAAGCTTCTCACATTCCTTTAGAGCATGTATATCTCAGGTTGGGAGATCCTGGTGTAGTGCATAGGGCATTGGATTCTGGGTCAGGAAAACCTGGGTTCAAATTCTGCTTTAGATACTTACCAGCTATGGGACACTGGACAAGTCACTCCATGTTCCTCTCTGTCTCTAAGTTTTCTCATCTGTAAAATAGGGGGTTGGACCAGTGGTCCTTGAAGCTCTAACATCTGAGATCTTATGAAAAGTGGTTATAATCTGCATCATTGGAAGCCATATCCACCTTCTATCTTATAAATGAGCTTGACCTAGGGGGAGGCTCTGCCTTAGGACCTGGGAATGTAAAGACCAAGGTGGAAACAACCAAAGATGACATCTAGAAGATGAAACACCTACAGAGTTCCATGTGTGTCAACAGGCTTATAGAGGCAGACAGCAGAAACTGGTAAGTATGTTGGATTGAAAGTTCTTGCCTTATTTCTTTTGTCAGTATCCTGCCCCAAAACAACTTTAAAAAGAAAACACAGCCAAGCCTCAAGTTACAGTCCCAGAGGAACACAAAATACTGGAAGAATTCAATATACACACAAAACAAACCAAAAAGCCCCCCCACAAACAGCTACTCCTATGTGTGAAAAATAAATACCTAGAGTTGGAGTTGGGACAATTTCTAATCATTATGTTTAAGGTAAATTTGCAAGCTGTTAGCGGAAAAAAAACTACTCGGTGTCAGACATGATAAGAGCAGATTTAGATGGAGACGGGGAATACATGTGATCTCTGTATAACAAAAGCATCTAGAGAACTGATTTTCCCTGATAGGGTTCAGAGAAATGTGAGTTTAGAGATTCCCAGGAAGAGCCAACTGACTGCACAGACCTTGAAACTTTATTAGCTATTGTAGCTGAGAGTAATTTTGAGGGCAAACTCACAGAGGCTGTTGATCTTTCTCAGGGAAAGATAAAGCTTGTTGTTGCCAGGAAGTTGGGAAAAGGACAAAAGAAGGGAATAAACTTATATAGCACCTACTATATGCCAGGTACTATGCTAAGTATATTTTTTTAAACAACGATCTCATTTAAGACTCACAACAGCCTTGAGAAGTAGGTGCATTTACTATCTCCACTTTACAGATGAGGAAACTGAGGTAGATTGAGGTTAAGTGACTTCCCCAGGGTCACATAGCTAGGAAGTGTCAGGATTTAAACTCAAGCGGTCCCAACTCTAGGGCCAGAACTGTATCTACTCTATCACCAGTGGCTGAAAGCAGAGAATATTTCTGAAGGAAAACAGTAGAAGAGTGTGTGGGTGACTCCATTGATGAGGAACCTCTGATAGGTGAGGAATGTAGCCTAAGTAAGTTGGATGAGGCCCTGGAAATGTGGAGGGAAAGAAAGGAAACTACAGCCCCCTTTCCTTGTAAGGACCATAGATTTGAAGCCAAATGGAACCTCAAAGACTCTCTAATCCCACTCTATTTTTTTTTTGAAAATGCAGAAGAAGGAGGTGAAGAAACTTACCCAAGGTCACACAGAGTTGGATTTTCTGCCTCCTTATCCATTGTTCTTTATGCTGTACCATACTGTTTCACTAAATAGGTGGAGGAAATTAAGCTCTAGGGACAGCTTACCAAAGTCCCAGCTCTGGTGGTTGTTAAAATCTGGCCAAGGTGTGTAGATTGGAGAACTTGGAGAGTTGGAGAGTTGGGCACAGCAGAGAAAAAAGCTTCCATATCAAGCCCGGGCAGCTGCCCACTTTTTGCTAATAGTCAGTTTTGGGTTGGGCATGGTAGAGGTTATCTTTGATATTGGGGGGATGAGGCAAGAACATCTCTTGAATTTGGGAGTCTTGAGCTGCAATGGGCTATTGTCACTAAGGTGGTCACCCTAAGTATGGCTTCAATACACTGAGCCCCTGAGATCCACCTGGATTGTCCAGGTCAGAAAAAGAGCATGTCAAAGGTCCTAGGCTTATCAGCAGTAATGGCCTGCAATAACACCCTGAGAGAGATAGGGGAGACCCAGTCTTAAGAAACAAACAAACAAATAAATATATGCCTTCGGTATGCTAATGGCCTGGCTGTAAATTGAGATAATAAAAGACCAATCCGAGGATGGCAAAGTGCAGTCCAGGTAAGAATTATACAAATTACTTTATAGGACAGTGAATGGTGCACGGATAGGTGTTTAAAAATACATGTTGATTGAACGTAGCCGCAGCTCCAAGTGATAAGTAGAATACATATCTTTCATATCCAGCTCTGTGAAATATTAGCGTATTAAAAGTTAGAAGCTTGTGGAGATGAGGAGGGACATTGATCTACAGCTTCCCTCTAGAGCAGAGGTTCTTAACCATTTTTGTATGGTGGACTCCCTTGGTCATCTAGTGAAGGCTATGTATGGACTTCTCACAATAGGGTTTTGAAATAATTAAAGGAAATGCTAAATTTCAAATTGAGGGTTAGTGAAAATAAAGATGTTATTTTTTTCTCCTTGTCTAAGTTTATGGTTTCCCCTGAAATCTGCAAATCTCACTAGGTTAAGAATGCCTTCTCTGAGGTAGCAAAAGATGACTGGACTGTTATTCCAAAGCAAAGAATGAAGGACTCAGAGGGTGAGGTTAGACAACAGGAATTAGCTGAGGGGCGGGGGCGGTGGGAAAAACAGCTTCAACCCTCACGCCCAATTTCTGCCACAGTTTTGGTCTTCTCCTTTCAGAGTCTTACTACATAGTGGATGATTTTCTTTTTTTAAACCAACTTTGTTTCTGCAACCCAGAGTAAGTTGGGTTTCCTTCTCCTTGAGGGAAAATGGGTGTAATGAGAAACAACTCAAGGACAAACGATCCCACCCCACACCTTCCTTACCTGGCTCTGAGGCAGGGGACCAAGTAGGAGCGCTGGCAAAGCCCCTACTGGGGGCTGGGCTGCACTCACTGCCTGGGGCGCCCGCGGCTTGTCAGTTACCGGCGCTGGAGCAGATAGAGCCTTGCAAAGTAACTCTTGGGTACCGAAGGGACACCCTCCAAGGTTCCAGGGGTCCCGCGCTGCGGTGGCAGCGGCGGCTCCGGCTGCTGAGCTGGCCGCGGTGGTTGTGCAATGAGCAGCGGGGACTCTGGGCTCGCCCCCTCACACGGGCACCGGGCAGAGGAGGCTGCTCCCCTGCATCGATCATTGCCCGGGACCGACCCGGCGCAGGGGTGGCTCCGCTCCCCTCCGCTCCGCGCTGCCCAGTCCAGCCCAGTCCAACCCAGCCCTGCCTAGCCTGATCCAGAAGTACTTCTGGGCAGGGGCTGTCAAGGCGGCCACTGCTGCATCGTTTTATATAGAGGGGCGTATCTGCCGAGCGCTGCCGGCTTCCCAGGGGCGCGGCTCCGGCTTGCGTTAGGATTACTACCTCCTCCCCTCCCCCATCCCCACCTCCTCCGGGAGCCCCTCCAGGACCGTCCCAGAAGGCTATCGCAGCCCCGGGACGCCTAGTTAATCAGCCACTTCATCTAATCACATCCGCCAACCTGGAGAGGGTCATCAAAGGGGACTGGTGGGGCTCTCTATGGTACACTGCGTCTCTGTTCCCTCCCGATGTCTAGCTGAAACTTTCCGGGCTACAGCTGGGAGCTTCTGTTGCCTTCCTCTCCTTAAGCCAGGCTGCACTGATATTTCTTTTTTAAGTTCGAAATTGGAATGGCCATTTACCTTTATTTCCTTTGGGCACCGTATTCGTACATTACCAACTTGAACATAGAAATAATTATTAATAATTAGAACCCAGGAGCACCCATTTTCAAATCTAGCATGTATCACATGCTGGCTGAGTGATCCTGGGGTCATCTCTCAATCTCTCAGTGCTCTAGGAGAGCAATTATATGACTATAAATTGCAAAGAAGATGCCAACTTGAACTGATAGAGTGAGTTTTGTATACCAATGGGCGCACAGGTCCACTCACTCTCCTTGATAATAGAAATTAATAAAAGCTAAACCTAGGCAAAGTGCTAATTGACATGGAGAAAAAAAAATAGAATCAAAAGAGATTACCTCCTCCCAAGTTATTAAAAAGTAGGGCCAAATTAATTTTCTAATTCCCCAAGAATAGACGCTGGGCATCTCTAGAGACCTGAAGCATTTAGAAACAAGGGTAAGCTATCAAAGGAGCTGGAAGTTTTAAAAAAAAATTGGCAGCTACAGGAGATTAAGGTAAAAGACTGTTGTAGAGACTTATATTTTCCTATATTCTTAGAAAAATTGAAAATGCCAGAGGCTTTGAATGGAGTTTTAGCATTATTTATATGTAGCATTCAAAAGCACTTTCAGTCAGGGAATTCAGAACACTTTAAAAATGGTTATAGGATACTTCACCACATTTCCCACTCCCACTGTCTTCTGTTTGATGTATTTCCATAGCTGTGAAGGACTGAAGAGATATGGTGTGTTGGGCTTCCAGGGCAAGGAAACATTACTCTTATTTGATAGGCCCAGGTGGGAGGCTTCTCTGCTTCTCCAAGTATTAGATCCTAGAAGTGGTGATGTGGTACAGTGCAAGGAACAGAGGATGAGAGTCTGAAGACCTGAGTTCTACTCACTATTCAAATGCTAAGCACTTAATAAGTGACTGCTGTGTGCCAGGCATCCAAAAAAAAAAAAACCCAACAAAAACCCGAATGTTTCTACCCTCCAGCAACATATGATTTATAAGAAAAGACAACACCAGCACAAATAAATATAAAATAAAAGCACCAGCTTTGTGACCTTAAGCAAATCTTTTCCCTTCTCAGGACCTTGTTTTCCTAATCTACAAAAAGAGGGTATTTATATTAGATCATTTACAAAATTCCAGATCTAAAATTACATAATGCTAGATCCTCTTATTTTTTCCTATAAGGAAAAGCCTTAGGCTCTTTCTAGAAAATCATGCTGCTTTCCTGGTGCTAAGTAACTCTAAGTATCCCATTTCTAAGTATTATTGTAAATTTTGAACAGATAACCTTCTTTTCCAGGTCTTGCCTTCCTACTTTACAACCTTCCCAGCAACCAAGAACACTGAAGCATGATGGGAGAGTAATTTGAAGAGATTTTTTTCCCTCTTTTTCCCCCTGTAAAATAACTTCCTAGCTGAAAATTTGATTTTCTCCATCAAGAGTGCAACACTGGATGCTGACATTTTATTTATTTGTTTATTTGTTCAGGTTTTTTCAGTTAAACTTTTCTTAAGGATTGCTTCATGGGGTCACAGGATTTGATCCCATGTCATCCAGTATCTTTCTGGAAACAATTTAATTCAGGGTATCCTCTCAGTGGGATAAAGCCACATAGCAGTAATGTGACTACCCAAGTAAACAGCCAAACTTTTTCACTAATCTGACACTGGTGCAATCAGCTCTTCATTATAGTCAACCCTGAACTCCAGTCCATCTTGGTTCCAATGACAGTATTACTGAAGAAGGCTGTTTTTTAGATGGATCCTGAGTTACGATGGGTGAGCCCTCCCAAAAGGGTGAGGTCTCACAGTAAATAATATTCTGCTGTCAGAAAATATGCAGATGAGAAGGAAATTCCAAGAAATTGATAGAAATATTAGCCAGATAAATAGGACTTTTCAAACAGTTGGTTTTTCTACTCCATCAACACATTATGACATGCTAGTAAGATGAAATATAGTGACTTTTTACTATTTAGGGCTGGCTACCAACCCCTGTGGGTTTTCCAAGTAAGGTTCATATTTTTTAAACTTTAGGATCATCTAACTGTGCCTTAGAAATTTATGTTTGAAATTCATGCATGTGGAAATGAGTTCTTTTCAAGTCATTCCCATCCCCATATGTTGAATGCCTACTTTGGTACAAAGAGATATAAAGAGGAATAATACATGGTCCTTACTTTCAACATTTATAATATTTCAGTCATAACCATAAATACATAACTATAATGGGAGTTAGAATGTGATAAATATAAAAGTAGTCAGTTATTCTGGACAACATGCATGATAGTAAACTATTTTTCTGTATGAAATATTTAAATTTAATGCTCTCTTATTTTTTTTAGGCAGGCTAATTTTATTTATTTTACAATTGTATTTTTTCCAATTACATGTAAAGACAATTTTTAACATTCATTTAAAAAATAATTCCAAATTTTCTTTCTCCCTCTTTTTCCTCACCCCTCCCTAAAATACAGGCTATGTATGTGCAATCATGTAACACATATTTCCATATTAGTCATGTTGCAAAAGAAGAAACAGGCCAAAAGGGAAAAAAAATACACAAAAATGTATGCTACATTCTGCATTCAGGCTATATCAGTTATTTCTCTGGATGTGGATAGGATTTTCCGTCATGAGCCCTTTGGAATTATCTTGGCTTGTTGTATTGCTTCGAAGAGCTAAGTCATTCACAATTCTTCATTACATAATGTTGCTGTTACTGTGTGCAATGTACTTCTAGTTCTGCTTATTTAACTTTGCATCAGTTCATGTAAATCTTTCCAGGTTCTCTGAGAGCATCCTGCTCATCATTTCTTATAGCACAATAGTACTCCATCATATTCATATACCGCAACTTGTTTTAGCCATTCACCAATTGATGGACATCCCTTCAATTACTGATCCTTTGCCACCACAAAAGAGCTGCTATAAATATGTTTGTACATGTAGGTCCTTTTCCCTTTTTTATGATTTCTTTGGGATACAGACCTAGTAGTGGTATTGCTAGATCAAAGGGTATGCACATTTGCAATATTCTTTGGTTATAGTTCCAAATGACTCTCCAGAATGGTTGGATCAATTCACAACTCCAACAGTAATGCTCTCCTGTTTTAAAAGGCAACTTCAGTAGTAGTATGTCATATAGAGGAAAAGTGTGAACACACCCAGATATCACCACATTCTAGTTTGTGACATTTGTTTTGCATTGGTTTATGAATCTCTTTATCTCAAGAAGTGGCATAGATAAGCTCTTTTCTCTTTGTATAATCTTTCCCTTGGTGATCTCATTGGCTCCCATAGGTTCAATTATCTTTTCTGTCTAGATGACTTCCAAACCTATACATTGAGGCCAAGCCTCTCTCCTGAACCTCAGTTCTGCTTTACCAACTGTTTAAGGGACATAAGACCCTCAAAGTAAACATATACAAAACAGACCTCATTCTACTTCCTCTCCAACCCATCCATCCTCCAAACTTCCTTATCTCAGTCAAGTGCACCACCATTCTTCCAGTCACCCAGGCTTGTGAATTTGAATATCTCCTGGACTCTTCCATCACTTTCAATATCTCCGCCATATTCTATTAGTTGCTAAATCTTGTCAATTCTATTGCCACCACATCACTCATCTGTCTCTCCATCCACACAACCCCTACTTTTGTTTAGGCCTCCTAGTTGGTCTCTTTGCTTCCAGTCTCATGACTCTACCATCTGTCCACAGAAGGTCCTTAATAAATGCTTCTTGACTGATTTCCTACAACATAGTTCTGACCACAATGTTCTCCTATCCCTCAAAAATTTTTAGTACCTCTCCTTCCTCCTGCCCATTACTTCTAGGATGAAATGTAAAACCTTTCACCTGATTTTTAAGATTCACTGCTATCTCGCTTCCACGTACATTTCTAGTTTTATTTCATGTTTTTTTCCCTTCATTTACTCTCCATTTAAGTTAGTCAATAAACATTTCTTAAGCAGCTACTACATGCCAGACACTGCGCTGAACACTGGAATACAAAGAAAAGGAAAGAACAACCCCTGCTCTCAAGGAGCTTACAATCTAATGGCTAAGAATCAAAACAGCCTAGTTTTATAGACATATTATTATCCCCATTTTGCAGATGAGGAAATTAAGGCAAACATAGGTTAAGTAACTTGTCCAGGGTCATCCAGCTAGTGTCTGAGGCTGGATTTGAACTTAGGCCTTCCCAACTCCAGGCCCAATGCTCTATTCATTATGCCACCTAATTGCCTATTTTATGAAAAATGACATTACAAAGTATTCCCAGAGGTGTTCTGCAATATAGGATGTTCCAGGCAGCTGCCTCCCCATCTATCCCTTGTTCCACTCTCTGTTACTGCCTGCAAGAGCAGCTGCTGTTCATAAGGCTGAGTGGTGGAGATGGTGTGGGGGAGGCTGGCACCCTGTTTGGCAGCTCAAAATGCTGGCTGCTGCAGTCTGTTTGGAATGAAGCATCTTGTTTTGTTTATCTCTGTGTTACTGACCCATTTCTTCACCTCTGGATCCTCATTTAGTCTAAGCCCAGTCCCTATCTTTGCTTGCAACCCTACCATCAGAATTGCATGTCAATCCAATGTCTCTTTAGCTCTCAGGCTAGGCCCTAGGCATATGGTGTATAGTCTGACCCTGGACCAAATTCCAGC